TCGTTTCGAGACGAATGAAAATTTGATTACAATTTCTAGAAAGCTTGCAACATAAAATTGAGATACATTGAAAGTAAATTGATCGTTGATTGCTTGAAAGTTAGAAATTACAATTGATGAAATCATGAAATTACAATGGCTGGTGTAGGGGTAAACACTAGAATGTTTGAAAGATTTTAAAAGATTAATACCCCCATATAATAGCTTGCGGAACAAAAACTTAAGTGATAGAAATAGACATTTAAATGACGAGGAATTGTACTAAACGTTTACCAATATCAGAGCTATTTTACAATTAAAATAAACTATTACTATGGAAAGGAAATTACAACTCAAGTTTGAACTATTAATTAAAGCTACGGTCCTTGACACCTAGTTATGCACATCGATTAACGATGACCGCAAAGGTTAAGGGATGTGCTTTGGTCGAAGCAGCAAGATCACGCTAACTAGTCTCTACTTTTGCTTTAGGAATGTAAGTAGCTTTGTGAAATGTATTTTCAGAAAGCTTCAAATGTATTTGATAAATTAAAAAAAAATTAAATAGAAAAATAATGTATTTAGGAAAAAATTAATAAAAAATATATATGGATAAATTCCATTGGTTGCAAATGTATTTTCATCGTAATTCAATAATATATGGTAATTATACTTTAATATAATTTCAATCGAATAATCACACTTAACTCATTTTTTATCGAATAACTTCACTTTAGTTTGATTTCAATTAAGATAACTTCATTCAATTTCGCCATTGATAATCAATGATGTGACATTTAACAAATGATAGTTATAGCTAGTAATACTTAATAAATAAGTACAACTTTATTTATTTGTATCTTTTATGATAATATCGTGTTTGGTGATTATTAAAATTGGATTTTTAGTAGATTTTAATAGAAATTCTTGAAATATGTGGTTAAAAAGTTGTGGTACCAAAAAAATATGTGGTTAATATTGATTATTTGATTTTGATTTAAATTAAAATTTGATTTAAATAAATACCAAACAAGTGCCTAATAAGTACAACTTTATTTATGCACATATTAGCCCTTGTTTGATCTGGATTAAAATTTGATTTTAATTCAAATTAAAGTCAAACAATCAATATTAACCATGTATTGCTGGTCTCACAATTTTTTAACTACACATTTCAAAAACTTCTATCACATTCTACTAAAAATCTAATTTTAATCCGCCAAACAAGCCATGTCATGGATTTTTATCTATTCAAGATGGAAAAATTGAAGTTCATGTTCTAGCTGCCATGCCAGAGTTCCTGTAGAATAATTGAAAGGCAACGGTCCATTTTCTCCTTATCAACGGTCCAATTTTCTCTTTTAAGTGCAGCCAGACACATGCTTAATAAATAAGTACAACTTTATTTATTCGTATCTTTTATGATAATATCGTGTTTGGTGCTGATTAAAATTGGATTTTTAGTAGATTTTAATAGAAATTCTTGAAATATGTGGTTAAAAAGTTGTGGTACCAAAAAAATATGTGGTTAATATTGATTATTTGACTTTGATTTAAATTAAAATTTGATTTAAATCAATACCAAACAAGTGCCTAATAAGTACAACTTTATTTATGCACATATTAGCCCTTGTTTGATCTGGATTAAAATTTGATTTTAATTCAAATTAAAATCAAACAATCAATATTAACCATGTATTGCTGGTCTCACAATTTTTTAACTACACATTTCAAAAACTTCTATTTAACTCTACTAAAAATCTAATTTTAATCCACGAGCCATGTCATGGATTTTTATCCATTCAAGATGGAAAAATTGAAGTTCAATTAACCAATTGAAATGGGNATTCAAGATGGAAAAATTGAAGTTCAATTAACCAATTGAAATGGGATGGTATAGTGCGAAAGTGTAATTAACTGAATTTACCCCCAAAAAATATGAAGATATCCTTCCTTGTCTATCTCTTCCTTTGACTTTCATTCCTATAAGAGACAATTCTCATTTTAAATCCAAGGATTTTGTGAAAGATAGTAGAAATGGCATCAATTGAGGATATCAATTATGGAGCTTCAGAGACCCACGACTGCGTAATCAAATTGGTCAGTTCAATTCAATCTTTTCTATTCATACAGCCATTTTTTTCTTCAAAATTGGATAATCGAATTATAAGTTATAATCATGGACTTTTCCCCTTTTTTGGTTTAAAATTTTACAAGGCGTGTTAAATTGCAGAGATTGGATCCTAAAAGGCGAAAGGAAAAAGTGATAGTTGGCTGTGGAGCTGGGTTTGGAGGTGATAGACCATTAGCAGCATTGAAACTGCTTCAAAGAGTGGAAGAATTAGACTATTTAGTACTCGAGTGCTTAGCGGAACGCACCCTTGCCGAGCGTTACCATGCAATGAAGTCCGGTGACAAGGGCTATGATCCTCGTAGTATGTTAATTTTTGACTATGCTTATTTAAATTATTCATTATTTGGATCACTTGATCATGGTTTATCACACAAGCCTAATTCACTAAAGTTTACTGATTTATTTCCCGATGGTCATTTTTGCAATAATCAGTTGTTTTGAGTGTTTATATCGGAGTCAATTATGTCTTTAAGCGATATCATGTTTACTGGAACAAGAAAAATATTGATAATTCACGAAAGAAATATAAACAGGAGATATTGAGAGAATAGAAAACTTTACCTGTTGAGTGGGGGTCTTACTTTGACTGTCAAAGTTTAATTTGTAGGGAGATAGGAGTATGGTCTAAAACAGTAATGAAAACGTAAGATTTTTCCAAATAGTTTTGTTCACTTTCTTAGAATTCTTTTGTGATATTTTATCTAGTATTTCTATTAATCAATTTTTTCAAATTCATTTGGTTTTTATAGGTATAGATTTGATATAGTAGGTTAAGTATATGTTTGGCCTTCATTTTTTCAAAAACTCATTATTTCAAACTCATTTTCAACTACACATTCTTCCATAAAATAATTTTACATGTAAATCGAAAACTTTTCCTTATTTTTTAACCTCACATTCTCCAAAAAATCACTATTCCATAATACATTTTCTTACAAAAATAGAGCTCAAACGAGGGCTAAATATATCAATGGCTAGAGTAGGTGAATGCTGTGGCAATAGGCAGTGCAAGGTGGCGTGGCTGACAGGTCACTACCATCTCTCTGGATTTCGGGATTTGGTCATGTAATGTTGGATTCTGTTCTATGTTTTGGGTGAACACTTTGGTATTTGTTTGCCATCTTGATGATCCAAGCTCTAATTGCCAATTCCATTGGCGTTATTGAGTAGATTGAGGGCGTAGAGATGGTCTACTTATTGACACTAGCATGTTAGCCATTTTATCGATTCTCATCTGACGTTGAGTTGCCTTTGCTTTTTCTCAAGCTCCTTGGCCTTTCTATCCTGTTGACTGAAGTATTACTGCCATGTTAGCTTGATGGTGGGGGTGCCATACTACTTTTGGTATAACACCATGATTTATCATATTCAGTCTTCTAAAAAGCGTAAAGTATGACGAAACATGGAGGCCCCTAGGTGTAAAAAAGAATTTTATTATTTTAATTTTTTAATTAAATCTAAAAATTATTTAATAATTGAAGGAAAAAAGCATAAAAAGCGAGCCTAGACACAAAAAATAAATAAATAATACAAAAATAAAAGCGCTAAAATGTGCAAGGGGGTTTTTTGCGTTTGCGCGCCTAAACGCTACTTTTTAGAACACTGAGATTTATATGAGATGGGGGTTGATTAATTTCTGGTGGAACTGGGCAAGAAAAATTAGCAAAATGTTTATTTTATCTTCTCATATATGCCATATATGCACTTGTATGGGAAAACAATCTAAGGCAGTTTGTCAAAATATAATTAGACTCTTGTTAGATAAAAAATTCCATTATGCATGGTAGCATCTTATTGGGTCTTGTACTCAAGTATTTGTATATCTACTGCTTCCTTGCATTTTACATTTAACTGATCGAGCAAACTGAATATATTATAGCACAAATATGCATTGGTTTTGCAGTTTCAATTTGTCTCAATGTATTGCAATAAGCTGGTGATGTTATTTTCGTTGCTAAATTGCTGATAGTCATAGATCATTATGCAGTTTCAGAGTGGATGCAGTTGCTTCTACCTCTGGCTGTGGAGAGAGGAGTTTGTATTATTACCAATATGGGTGCAAGTGAGTTTTAAGTAGTTTAAATATAATTTTCCGTATTATGGAAACGTTCTTAATGCTTCTATCTTTAGTATATACATATTTTTTGAAGTCTTCTTTGCTTATCTAAACATATGTTTTTACGCTTGCAATTCACGGGAAGAGAGTCCTCATGGCGCCCAAGAGGAGGTTTTACAAATTGCAAGCAAACTGGGCATTGGTATGACCGTTGGTCTGGCTCATCAATCTTCTGTTTCAGGAAAAGGTATTCTTTGACATCTAAGATCATATCCTACTTCAATGAAAAATAGACCTTGAGATGCTAACGACATTTTCCTACAATGGTTCACAATCAGGACTGGATGATCACCTGAAACATGTTGACGGTGTAAGTTGGCCATCTTTGTTGTATCTGTGAGTTGCATATTGCATTATCGTACAATTCTTAGACGTTTCGAGAATTCTATCATTCCTTTACGGGCTGATATCTCCCGTTTAAACTCATATACTCCTTGTAGTTGTGGATAAAAATGAATATTTGACTTAAATGGTAATATTCTCCTTATGGAAAATGCATTTCCCTTTATTTCTTTGCTAAAAATGTGCCTTTGTCCTTCTCTAGGTAGATTGGCTGTTAACATTTTCTTATCTGTGCAGGATGTTAGTGTGTATCTAGGAGCAGCTCCTATTGTTGAATGTCTGGAGAGGTATAAACCAAATGTTATTATCACTTCTCGGGTTGCAGATGCTTCTTTATTCTTAGGCCCGATGGTATGAACTTAGATCGTTTTCTATTCTGCTGTATTCATTACAGTCTCTACATCTACTATTTGACCAAATTTTTTTGGGTCCAGTGTAATCTGATATGTAATAGAGACCAACCCTCCCGGAACCCTTTCCCGTGAAAATTGATTTCTGTAACACGATGATGAATGTCTTTCAGTGTGATTAGGTATATGAACTGGGATGGAACTGGGACGAGTTGCAGCTGCTAGCACAAGGTTCACTGGCAGGTCACCTGCTGGAATGTGGTTGTCAACTCACAGGAGGATACTATATGCATCCAGGTGACCTTCTACTTTGGCCTCATATAGTGCCACAGCTTCCACAATAAAGATTGAATTGCAGCATTTGATATTTTCATAAATATATGATTACTTAATGAAAGATTTGTGTATCTTTTTTCTAGCTGATAAATACAGGAACATGTCTTTCCAAGATCTCCTCGATTTGTCTCTTCCTTTTGCTGAAGTTACCTTTGATGGGACAATACATGTAGCAAAGGCAGAAGCCTCAGCTGGGGTTCTAAATTTCAGCACTTGCACTGAACAACTTCTGTATGAAGTTGGGGATCCTGGTGCTTATATAACCCCTGACGTGGTAAGATTTGGTGGTTATACACCAATCGAATCTGTCAGTTTGGAGAAAGATGATAGAGAGATTAAGATTGATTCAGGAAGTTGAAACAGTTTGTACTATTCACAGATTATAGACATTCGGGATGTTAGGTTTCAGCCTTTATCAAAGAATAAAGTTCACTGCAGTGGAGCAAAGCCTTCTCCTGAACCATTACCTCAAAAAATGTTGGTGCTGAGTTCTAAGGTACCTCCCCCACTCTAGTCAATCAAATTGGTAGTCTCATTATAGGCGTATATTAATTTTACTAAATAAACAATGGAATATTTCATTATTTTTAAGTTAATTGAAATATTCTTCTCCTAATGTCGTATTTCCTTTTATTCTTATTCTTCCTTCCTTTTTTCCTCCATAATTTTTGATGTGGATCATCACCAATCAAAGCATTCAAATTATTTATTTGAATAATGCAGTCTGTTCAAAAACCTTTTTTGGCCAAGTTGAGTAGCCTTATTGGTAATAATACTTCAGTTTACAGTTGTTTAGATTGTTCAGCTGGATATCTATACTATTTATGGAATAGGGCTATAGTCTCTCTATCCTCTGTTTTATCTTATTAAATGATGTCCTATAGTTAGACGGAAGGAATGCTGGTTCTTTTGTATCTTATGTCCAAGTTTACCTGTTCACAGGATTGTGGGTGGAAAGGTTGGGGAGAGATTTCCTATGGGGGATATGAATCTGTGAAACGTGCTAAAGCTGCTGAATTTTTGGTAAAATCTCCTTATGTTTATCACTTTCGTTCTTCGCTTTATGAAAAACGAAAATATTATGCCACTGCAAACATTCTTGATGATTCTTGTATTTATTCATCCTCCCGCATGTTGAAAAGGCAAAACAATCATTTTTCAGACTTTTTTTTTTTTTAACTGAAAATCAATAAAACGGTCTGGTATGTAAATTGCAACCAGGATAATAACATTGTTCCTTCATATTAGGTAAGGGCATGGATGGAAGAAATGTACCCTGGTACAAGCAACCGTATACTTTCCTACATAATTGGTTTTGATAGTCTAAAGGCGGTGAGCACGGACAATAAATTGCTGAGGGCTAGTGAAGATATTAGATTACGGATGGATGGCTTGTTTGAACAAGAGAAACATGCAATCCAATTTATTAAAGAATTCACAGCTTTATATACAAATGGTCCTGCTGGTGGCGGTGGCATCAGGTCTATTTATTTTGTTTTCTTTCTTTCTGTTTTTTTTGATTCACCATCTTATCCTTTTATTGTCACTGCTATTACATATCTGCATATAATGATTATACAGTATGCTGCTGATATAAACTATGTATGTTTTCTTATCAGTACAATAGCATTCGGTTATTGATAAATGATTTTGTTGGTACGTCTAAAAGATGAAAATTTCTATATTTTACTTGTGAAATGCCAACCAATAGTGCTTTAATTTTGAAGAACATTATGCAAAAATTTGTCCAGAGGCTTAATTGAGAAGGACTTGAGCGATATATTTGAGTCCTGAACACCAATTGTGCTGAACCACCTCATCTTAAAAGCTCAAGTCGTTAGAGAGGGGATACATGTTTTTATTTAAATGTTTTCTTCAGCACGCTCTCTCATGTGCAGGCTGGATTTCTGATAAATTTTTGTTAGACATTCTACATTTGGATCTAAATCTTTCACTGCATCTGTTTAGATTGTCACTTACATAGCTGCACGGAATTTATATGGCAGCATCTGTGTTTCCTTATGTTGCGGAACACTTTGGTTATGTCATGCCAATAACTTCTCTCTCTGGTTCATGGCTAGATTCTGCGAGGAATGCAGCAAGTACCTCGGTCGAATTTATGACCATGAGAGCTTTTTCCTATCGCACAATCCTATTATATACTCCACCCTCTTGCAGTTTTTGAGCTGCTCAAGGAAAATCTTATTTTGCTATTCAAATTACTTAAATCGAAAATTTTGTTTCTTAGACATCTATCCATTAATTTATTTGGGATGTTAATGCTTATATATTTATTTTCTTAATGCAGCACTGGATACAAGAAAGAGATTTATCTGGAAAAAGGATTGGTACCTCTCTCTCTCTTAGGTCCTCTGTGTGTTTGTACAGTAGTTTAGGGGTTGCAGGGTGGGATGCATAACTTTGTTGGATGAGAACGTGGGCTCACGATAAATCACTCACTCACAAGAACACACTAAGAAAGTTTACTCTTGAATAAATTGTCTTAGAGTTTGTTGAATACAAACCAAGTTCCTATTTATACTTACGTATTGAGAACATTTTATTTAGGACATGTTTGATGTAGAATTTTTGAGATAAGATTCTGTTAAATGTGATTTTTTTGAGAATGTGTGGTTAAAAAGTAGAGAAAAGTTATAGGTCCACATGCAAAATTACTTTATTGAGAGAATATGTGGTTGAAAATAAGTTTGGAGGAAAATAAGTTCTAAAGAATTTCTTCCGAACATGAGCCTAATGAATAGATGTGAATCCTACATCTAATACATGTATTATGTATGGATGAATATGTGTAATTATCGTATTATGGATCTATTACATTTAGCTCTTGTTTTGGTGGGGGGTTAAAATCAATTTTTTAGTAAATTTTAATAAAAGTTGATGAAATATGTTGTTGAAAAGTTGTGAGTCTCATAAAATATGTTGTTAAAATTAATTTTTGACTTTGAATTAGATTAAAATATTGGTTTTAATCCCCACCAAACATGGCTTAATATGTATTGATGAATTATACTTATTCTTTGGATTAATGGTTCTTCAAGATTCTAGCAAATAATGTGTTTTTAGTAGTTGCTCCTTACATCCTTCCACTTCTTACTGGATTGTGTTTAGTGCTTTCAATCTAATGCAATTTTCTGGTGATTACACTTCACCATCTTTATCTTTTGCATTAATTGCCAATAACCCGCTTTGGCTAAAACATGATTGCACTCTGTTGTAGTTTTAAGCATATATACGTGATCTTGTTAGTAGGGCTTTGTATAGGGAAATTGTGGACATTTTAAATTCGGTTAGAATTTTATCAGCCTGCAAACGTTTTCTGATCACACGATCCTGACGTTAATTGCTCTATATATATAATCTCGTTAAGTCTTGGTGAATTATCTTCGTTTTAGTATTATCAGTTGCTTTATCAGATTAGAATCATATTTAATGCTAGCCTTTGATCACCCCAGGTAGGACGTGAGTATGTTTACTGGCAAATAGCAGCTGCCAGAAACAATGTTCTGAGCTTGACTGATCAGAATGTCAACAATAAAATTAAAATAAACACGGGTACTTGCCATGAATCTGACTCCCAACCAGTCTCAAGACAAACTACATACAGTCTGAGTAAAGAACTGTTAGTACCAGAAAGTCATCTCTGTCCTGCTCCTGCTGGTCAAAAGATCTCTCTCTACGATGTAGCTCATAGCAGGGCTGGTGACAAAGGAAATGATCTGAACTTCTCAATTATCCCACATTTCCCAGCTGATATTGAGAGGCTCAAGACGATTGTAACTCCAGAATGGGTGAAGGAAGCTGTCTCAACTCTTCTGAATCTGTCGTCCTTTCCTGATTCTAACGATATAGAAAGAAGAGACAAATGGGCTAGTGAACATGTTAAGGTCGAGATCTATGAGGTAAGAGGAATCCATTCCTTAAACGTTGTGGTTCGTAACATTCTAGATGGTGGTGTCAACTGCTCAAGAAGAATTGATAGGCATGGAAAGACAATATCGGATGTGATTTTATGCCGGGAAGTGTTGTTGCCTCCATGATATAGCTCCGCAAAACCATATCGGATGTGATTTTATGCCAGCAAGTGTTGTTGCCTCCATGATATAGCTCCGCAATATCACAACTGTAATTTCCTTTCACTCCTTTTCAGTTTCTTTTTCTTCTCGTTTCACTCCTTACCACCCCATCTATGTGCTCTTAGGGCAGCATATAGAAGTTATTTGAGTGAAAATGATCTTATATGGTATTATATACTGGGATACTGCAAGGAGAAATTTAGTCACACAGAACAATGTACATTTTAGTGTTCCTTTGTTATTATAAAGATATTAATAAGTTAAGTTACATGGCATGTTTTTGCGTTTGTAGTAGAGAAAATATAGGGATAGTAAAAAAGCTCGCCGGCTCGGGCTCGACCCGGAAAAAGCCCGAGCCCCGCGTTTTAGAAAAAAATAAAAAAAATAAATTTTAGGCAGCTGGCTGACAGCTGCTTGCGTTGCAGGTAGCTATGTGACTGCAGTTGCCTGCGTTTTGCAGGCAGTAGTCAACCATATCGGATGTGATTTTATGCCGGCAAGTGTTGTTGCCTCCATGATATAGCTCCGCAATATCACAACTGTAATTTCCTTTCACTCCTTTTCAGTTTCTTTTTCTTCTCGTTTCACTCCTTACCACCCCATCTATGTGCTCTTAAGGCAGCATATAGAAGTTATTTGAGTGAAAATGATCTTATATGGTATTATATACTAGGATATTGCAAGGAGAAATTTAGTCACACAGAACAATGTACATTTTAGTGTTCCTTTGTTATTATAAAGATATTAATAAGTTAAGTTACATGGCATGTTTTTGCGTTTGTAGTAGAGAAAATATAGTGATAGTAAAAAAGCTCGCCGGCTCAGGCTCGGGCTCGACCTGGAAAAAGCCCGAGCCCTGCGTTTTAGAAAAAAATAAAAAAAATTAATTTCAGGCAGCTGGCTGACAGCTGCTTGCGTTGCAGGTAGCTATGTGACTGCAGTTGCCTGCGTTTTGCAGGCAGTAGTCACAAAAAAACACTTTTAAAGAAAAAATAATAAAAAAAAAAAAGCCGACTCGGCTCGTAAAAGCCTGAGCTGAAGCTCGGGTCGAACCTAAATTTTTTTGCTGAACTTTTGCTTGGCTCAGCTCAAGCCTAAAAATGTTCGGACTTGTTTTGCTCAAACCGAACCCGAGCTTTGAGTTTTGGCTCGTGGCTCGGCTCATTAGCATAGTTAGTTTCAGCCTTTCGGGATTTGTATTTTCCGTTAAAATTGATATACAAGTTTGTCAACTACTATTAGACAAGCCTTATTTTTAAGGGAAAATTGCAGTTGGGGTCCCAAATCTTTTAAATTATTGTAGATTATATCCAAACCTTTCATTTTTACATATGGGGTCCCAAACCTTTTTTATCGATTGCAACTAGAGGATATGTTGATGGAATCCGTCAATTCATTCGTCAGTTGACCAAAAGTCTGACCAAATTATTCCATATAATTAAAATAATTAAATAAAAAATTTAAAAAAATCATTTGGTCAGTCGTTGACTTTTGGTAAGTTAAAATGGATGAATTTTGTTCACATGTCCTCTTGTTGCAATAGAAATAAAATCTTTAGGACTTCATCTGCAAAAATAAAAGGTTCGAGTATAATTAGAAAAAGTTTTGAGTTTATATGTAATAGTGAAAAATAATAGAGGGATCAACTGCAGAACCATATTCGACGTTAATATTTGTACCTCATAATTTCTTTTCTTGTGGCAATGCATACAATTCCAAGAGAACCTAAACTATAGTATGAGAAGTTCAAAATTATATCTACAATGGGACAGCAACTTATAGAAAATAATTGGAATGTGCTAGAATTAAAAATTACAAAACTTTTAACTAAGCTACCTTCTCTCTAATTTATTCAACTCTTGTGAGGCGAGTTTCTCTTTCTCCTTAGTTTTTCGACTTGTTATTAATCAAATACTGCAAAAGATATTAATGTAGAGAAAAGAATATTCAAAAATTTCCCTTACAAGTTAGTGGTAGTAGTTTTCACATTAATATTGTAATCTTCATATAGCTCTTATCGAAGAGTTTGATTTTCTTTATGCAAGTAGCCAACTTGTCTTTCAAGTCTTCAATCTGCTTGCTTCAACCAAGCTATCCTATATGGAATGAAATTAAGTCATTCTATTATTCAGGTGAAAAAATGATTTCACTCCAATATGTCCAAAGCACTCCATGGATGCCATAAAAGAATGTGGTTGACGTCAATAGAAAAGCGTAGATAAGATTATATGACACCATAACACATTCGTCTTTTATTTTGAATCTAACTTTTCAAAAAGTAAAATTTGTCAACTAAAACACTACGTAGTTATGCTTAATTAGCAACTCACAAAATAGAAATGGAATTTACTTGAATGGGATCTGATATTGTCATTTATGGAGTCATCTCGAGCACGAGGACTCCCAAGGGCCCCATTTCTCGATTTGTACACCTCAGTCCTGGGCATGTAAATGTCCTCGAGACAGCTCGAGGATAGGTTTCACAGATCGGCCCTAAAAATCTCAATAGCACTCGTCGGGATGGTAATGCTCGGGAAATTTACTTGGACAATCTCAAAACACTCCGTGATCAAGTGTCACTGGTCCTCATCCAAAGAGAATCCTAAGTCCATCCAATTGCTGATTGCTCACAAGTTCTAGGCCAACAAGGAGTCTTTCCTTGTTGGCACTTCAAGTAAGGAAGGAAACTCCAATGCAACGCATATCCCAACACTATTTTCTGAAAATAAGGATATGAGTCCTTCTAGAACTCCACTACCTACTTCTATAAATACACCATTCTCATCCAGTATTCAGGTACACTTTTACAGATATTTGCAGCACATATTTTCTCTCTATTTTCTCTCTGAATTAAGCATCGGAGGGGCGACGATGACACATCTCGGCGCCTTTATTTCAGGTACCGAAAGATCGCGTTTGCACAAGTTATCAGTCGTCAAGCTTGGAATTGACCAGGTACAATTTTTGGTAGCATCATTGGCGCCGTCTGTGGGAAACCGCTACCAAAGTCATGGTGAATACACGTTCAAGTCTTCCTCTTGCTAGCTCATCCGCTCCAAACCAACCTCCTGGCATAGAGTTCTCGACTCATCAAGGAGAGTCATCGGCAATACCAGTTCCTCAACCAACAGTGATTACAGTTGGAGCATTCGAAGAACTCCGTCAGCAAGTTGCAACGCTGACTCAACTGTTGAGCCAGAGAATTACTCCCCTGCCACGGCTACGGATACTATACCGGCCCAACCGGAAGGTTTTATGAACGATGCTCGAGCTCAGGATACCCGTGACGTCCATGACAACGATGGATCTAGGGCCTCAGGCATACCTCCAGTAGCCTCGGCCTCGAGATTGGTTACAATGGACTCGGGCGAGGTCGCGCAGATCATACAAGATGGCATTGCTGCAGACCAAAATACCAAGGGAGCAGTAGGGTTCACCCCCAACACTCTGTTCACGCTAGAAGTTTTTTCATATCCCCTCCCGGACAGGTTTAAGATCCCCGCGTGAAGGAGTATGATGGGACCACCGACCCCATCAACCATCTTAATGTCTACACGGACTTCATGAACTTACAGGTTGCACCAAATCCAGTGATGTGCAAGGCCTTTCCTCAAATATTGACTAATGCTGCCAGGGATTGGTTCGCCACATTGGAGCCTAACTCTATACCGTCATTCTCTGACCTTGCTGATAAGTTCTCTGCTTTCTTTGCAAGTAGCAAGGGCATCAGGAAGACGGCGACCATCCTCATGCAGCTCCGGCAGAGACCTAATGAGTTACGTAACTTCATGACAAGATTCAACAAAGAAAGGTTACAGATACCCGACCTTCACATCACAGCGGCAGTCTCAGCTCTAACATATGCAGTAAGATGTGAGGCCTTCATAATGTCTTTATCTAAGATACCCTCGAAATCAGTGACAGAGCTATTTATCCGAGGTGAAAAATACATCAATATGGAGGAGGCAATGAAAGCTACCCCGAACACTGAGAAATCCCAACTGAAGAGGTCACACGAGCCCAACTTGCGACAGGATCGTGCTCGAGGCAAGCATAGGCAAGAAGGGCCACCTAGGCCGTTTACTCGTCCGAACACTTCTATGTCCAACATACTGATGGAGATAAAGGACATAAAGGAACTCAAATGGCCTCCTAGGTTGCGATCTCCCCCGGAGACCAGAGACAAGAGCAAATACTGTGACTTTTACAAGGATCATGGGCACATGACGGAAGAGTGTATAATGTTGCAACGAGAGATCGAGACATTGATAAAAAGGGGACTTTTGAAGACATATGTTGGGAACGACAAGCGTCCAAGGAATGATCACAACAAGGGTAGGACCCCCGGGCTCATGAGTAGGTAATAAGCCTACGACCGGGACGATCAATATTATAGTTGGAGGAATAGCATCGGGGGGAGACTCAAATAGTGGAAGGAAGCAATATGCTCGGTAGTATGGATCGGCTCGGGAGACTACTCTTTACGACAAGGAAGACATTACCTTCGGGTCGAAGGATTTAGAAGGCATAACATTCCCTTATGATGATGCCTTGGTCATATCCGCCATAATAGCCAACTTTAAGTCAAGAGGATATTCGTGGACAATGGGAGTGCAGCAAACGTATTGTTCCACGACGCCTATGAGAAGATGGAGATTTCTACCAGCCAAGTCAAGATGGTCAAGACCTCGTTCTAGGGATTCGGGGGTGGAACAATTATTTCGGAAGGAATTGTTGACCTTCCATTAACTTTGGGCTCAGACCAGAAGTAGGTGACAGAGGTTACGCCTTTCCATGTAGTGCGGACCTCCGTAGCATACAACACCATTCGGGGAAGGCTACTTCTCAACAAGATCAGGGTTATAATATCCACCTTTCACCATGCTATGAAGTTTCCAATAAGTCATGGTATAGGCATTGTGCGTGGGGATCAAACAACGGCTAGAAAGTGTTATGTTGTGCGT